ACGGGGACGGGTACGGGTACGGGTACGGGGCGGGTAAGTACATACCTGTACCCGTACCCGTACCCGATTTAATATATCGGGTTTTACCCGTACCCGTACCCGGTCAAACCGGGTATTCCCCGTCAAAGTCGGGACGGGTTCGGGTATTACCCGCGGGTACGGGTATATTTGTCATCCCTAGTGAAGAGGCGAAATTGAAAAAAAAAATAAAAAAGAGAGAGAAGATATAAATATGGGAGAGGAAGAAAGAAATATGAAATAGCAGGAATTTGATAGAGCAAAAATAAAATAAAAAATACTAAAAGGAAGCAAGGAAATGTTGGAGCAATAAAATATTTTACCAAGTACATGTGTACAACAAAGGTGTTTCTTTTTCTATACAGAATAGATGATTAAAACAAAATTTCACAATCAGATAAATGATAAAAATATATTTTATTCTACAACATTTTAATTTCAAAATTTAATTTTATTTCTATAATTTTGTGTTAAGTTATAGTTTAAATATTATATTATATAATATTAAAAGTACATACATAAATTGAAACAATTTTTAACGGGACGATTGACATGTGATTGTCGATTGGATCTGATTTAACAATAATAGAACTAATAAATCATTAATTAATACTTTGACCAATTAAATTACTTGTATGTATATAAAAACAATTGCTCGTGACTAAGAGCATGTTTTGGAAAAATGATTTTCTCACCTTTAACTATTTTTTAAGAAAAAAATAATTTCTAAATTAATCTTTATGTTTGAGACTAATAGACAAAAAAAAAATATTATGTATCTTCGTAAAGGACATGAGAACTTGGAAATGGATTGTGGAGATTTCTTGGGTTCCTCGAGAATGTAATTCAGTGGTGCACAATCTTGCTTGTTGGGGTGCTCGGAACTTGGTTGCTATGGTGAAATGGAGGAGTCCTCCTAGTTTCGTGTTTATGGCCTTAGGAGTTGATTCCTTGTCAAGTCTGTAATCTCATTTTTCTTTGTTTTATCTTTCATTAATTTACCAAATTTTTTTTTAGTGTTTTATATATAAAAAAGCAAGTAGTTATTATTTTTAAAGATGATATTTATTTATTTATTTTTTATATATATTTTTCTATTTTATCCTAAAATGTATTTTAGTGAAATAAAATAAAATATAGCACAAAGATATAATTATCTTTGAAAAAGTGGATATGAGGTATTCTTTTATATATTGTAACGACTCGCCAGGTCTCACACTGTCGAGATACAAGTATAAAATAAAATATCACTACTAAACAATTATATATATAATGAGAATACATAACTAAAAAGCCCCATAATATATATAACTGAAAGTAGGGAATAATACCATATACAACAACTAGGTAGTCGAATGCTACCAATCAAATAAATACAACATCAGCTCTCCTCCTGAGTCCCAACCAAAAAGAAGCTCACCCAGTTCAGCAAAGCACCTAAACCTGATCTGCTAGCATACCAAGATATGGTCATCGCAGCCCTAACCACAAGGAAAAACATGCTAGGGTAAGCTCACAACAACAATCATAAAGAAAATAATATCAACATATAATAAACAACAATATAATTCTATTTTCAACTTGCAACTTTAAAGCAACACAACACCTACAAAAATAGATATACGACATCATCTAATAGCAATAACATTTTCAACACATCGTACTTTACTCAAATTGGTCGCTTATAATCAGTATAGCTCGGCCTGACCCCTATACTGTGGTCGCTTTATACACGTGTGCCTTGACCTTGCCCACACACGGGACCAACCAAGTCCTAGAGGAGAACAACACATCATCCACTCCAAGGGATAACTTTTCAAGGAGGGTTTTCAAACAAATTGGGCTCTCAGTGCACCACAACTATCTCAACCCGCACAATGGAATGAACAACTTTGAAAACTTCTCCTCTAGTCCTAATGATCAACAATTCATCATCACAACACAATCACATAGTATTTATCACAAGGGCTCCACTATCAACTCATTCATACAACATTATATACAACTTGAATGCAACAACCCATGCAACATCAACTAATGCATCGTCACGCATATACAACTCAGAGATCTCCAACAACTAAGGTTAAGCAGACTAGGTGACATAAACCCTACTGAATCCAACATTTGACCTATCTCAACCAGGTCAAGTATAGGGCATCATTAGAAATTCCGAAGAAAACCAGGTATAGACAATAATAGGCGATTACTCAGGTGTGTCACTTAGACTCGGAGGCCTAGTACTACTGTCAGGACATAAGGGTTTGGGTATGAGCCTAGCACGACCTTGGCTAGCATCACCAATTCACATATGGAGTTAGCCCACCCACTGTCCTCCAAGTACCACACACCCTCCAGTACCTAGTCAAAGACTACATCTCTAACTAGATACCTTACTCAAATTAGTTATTCAACCATGACATGGATCGACTACTTCCATGTCCCCCACACAATACTAAGGGATTCAACTTTAAAAACAACTTTCAACTTATCACCTTAGTACTATGTATCTCAACATAGGACATATATCTTCACCATATGTCCCCAACTTTTCAACTTTACAACAATAGACAGCTTTACAACTTTACAACAATAGACAACTTTAGTCATCAAAATATCAACTTCAACAACTTTAGAGCAACTGAATAACTTTAAGACAACTTACAACTTAAAAGCAGCTTTCAACAATAGACATCACATACCAACAATTGACAACTTTCTATTCAATTATACAACTATAGGCGTCATAACAACTTTACAACAATAGTCATCTTTACAACAATAAGCAACTATAGTCATCAATCTCAACTCCAACAACTTTAAGGCAACTTTCAAATTTACAGCAATAGGCATCTTTATACTACTTAATTAAACAACTAAAGCAACTATAGTCATCACAATATCAACTTTACAACTTCACAACTATAGACACCCTTCATTCAACTTGACAACAATAGTCATCTTGATATTTTAAATCAACTTAATGCAACTTAACAATTTTAAACAACTTTACAACAATAATCTACTTCAACTTATACATATCGAATTATTAATAATTCAACGATAGACAACATGTAAACACTTAGTTTCATCAAACACACAACATATAAAAAACTTAAGCCAACAACTACTCAACTCATCTTCATCAGACAACTTAACAACTTTATAAACAACTTCAACAATATACAACATATTCGACACAAATTACAAATCAACCAACATATTTAAAGTTCATCTGTCATGCCAACTTACACAATGTAAACAACATAAATCAACTTAAGCACCCAACAACTCAACCATTTCAACAAAAAGACACAATGCATAAAGCTTCCTTAACTTGAAGATTGGCTCAAAAATAGCCAAGAACTGAGAAGAAGCGGAATTTCCTTCTGAAGCTCAACCTGGGAACTTCAATCTTCCAAAAACAAGCTTCCTAGTCCATAGTCCCTCTCTCTAAACTTCTCTCTGAGTTCCCCTTTCTCTTCTACTCAACGACGCTTATGGCCTATTTATAGAAGTCTGGAGTGGCCAGAACGGCTCGTTCTGCACCCCTTCATCATGTGTACAACTCACATGCAGAACGACCCGTTATAAAACCAGAACATCCCGTTCTGGAGTTGGAACGACCCGTTCTCAACTAGGATTTCCAAGCTTATTTAGTAGTCTAGAACGGTTCCAGTTTGGGAACGACCCATTCTGAGCTACTAAATCACCATTGTTTTACTAGTTTGGAACGACTCCTTACAATTTTTGGAACACCTCGTTCCAGTCTACTAACTGCGTTACATATATTGTTATAGATAACAACTTAAAATTATTAAGATTATTTTTTAAAAAATAAGTTGTTTTTTAGAAAAAAATTAAAAAAGTTAAAACTTTGAAACTTATGATTATGTTTTTATCAGTTCATTTTAAGTTGATTTACTACATAAAAATATTTGTTTATATCTAAATGAAATCAAACAATTTAAAAATATTTTTTAATAAATTTATCTAAATAAAAATTTATTTTAATTATAATTTATCACAATAAAAATCAATTATTAAAATAATGTATTTTTAACAATTTTTCTAACACACCCCTAATACTTGTGAAATGGAAAAAAACAAAATAACATAACTCATATTTTTTTTTAAACCACTATAGTTAGGATAATGGTAAGAAGAGAAAGGGTTGGATAGAAGTTGGAAAATTTAGATTGCGTAATCTTTTTTTTATGCATAAAAAAAATTTACATTATTTTTTTTAGATTAATTGTAGTTTTTTATCTTTTAAAATTTTCATTTTGATTTTAAATTTAGTCCTTCTGAATTTTTTTTAACAAATTCAACACTTAAAACTTCTCTCGTAAAATTTACTTATATAAATTTTATTAAATGCAACTGAAGTTCAAATTAAATGTGTTATAAATATGATAAAAATAAAATTTTAAAAATATCTATTTTTATATTATTTTTTAGTATTCAAGGGACATATATCTTACACTATGTTTACTATGTTATTGTATTTCATAATTTTCATATAATTAAATCTCACCTTACAAATTTCATGTTTTGATTTAATAAAAAATCATTAAAAAATATTTCACAAAATTAAAAATAATTATTATTTTAAAAAGGTAAAATTAATTCAAATATAAAAGATAAAAGATGAAAGTGAATTTAAAGAACAAGATAAAGGAAAAATATATAATTTATTTATTTTAATTAATAAAAATACGTATAAAAATGACTAATACTTATCTATGTTTGTTATCTTTTAAATAAAGGTTTAGTTATTAGGTAATTGAATTCCCTTCTTCTGTGGGGTGGACTGTTAATGACCCTTCAATGGTTAAGTCGGAACCCGATTCTTAGCTTCTCCGAGAGTGTCTGTCTGTCTGTCTGCGGAATCCAAATCCTCCAACTCCAAGGTTTCTTTCTCGTGCCCCTGCGCACGAGCTCTTTGTGGCTCCCATCGTGCGCAATTCACATCGTATGGTTCCAACGCGTTGTGCTGCAACTGAAATCCAAAATCAGAGAAAGAGGAGAAGAGAGAGAGCATGGCTGATCTCTTTGCGTGGCTCATCTCCTTCTTCATCCTTATTGCCTTAATTGTACTCGTCATTTACCAGGTCACTCCCAAAAGCCCTAACTTTTGCTTATTGCTTTGTTGTGGTTTTACTTTTGAATTTCTTGTTTAAGTCAACTTGAAAGCAATTTAAAGCGCCCCATTATCCAAAGGCTACTTTTTTAGTTCAGGCATTCAACTGGGTATATGTATACTTGTTCCACTTGCGACTTTGATTGAAGTCAATTCGTATTTGAAAGAAGTTTTAAGAAAAGAAAAGAATAAAATACTTACCAACTTCAAGTGAAGACACGTAGGAGGAAAAATTAGGGGTCTATGGGTTCTCATTTGGTTTCTAAAAGGTTTGGATAATCTTTATGGGAAAGGGACCCATTTGAGTATTTCCTCAGAAGATGTGTTTCAGTGGACAGAATCCATGTGTCTTATGAACATGTTTTTTAAATAAAACATGGGAGTTCTAAGATTGGAAGACTATAATCATGATTAGGTTACATAACATATGATGTTTATAATATTTTTGAAAAGAGGTCTATCTACTGGAAAAGACCTAATTTTCTTGTGCTCTCATCTGTTCATGTCCTCATATTTGTCTATTGAATACTCTTGGATTTAGGAGTATCGTCTGTCTATATTTTCGTGCTCTTTACTTTTCTGTTTCTGCATCAGAGCCTTCTGAAGATTGTCAAGTGTTACTACCGGCATTTTGCCATTGTTATTTTCTCCAGGAGTCTATAAACTTGGTTGTGTTTGATTCACGGTTATCCTTTTTTCTGCTATTATCTGACAGCTGATATTGTATAACATTTGCTGCAGTTAATGTGCCTGGCAGACCTGGAATTTGATTATATAAATCCATATGATTCCGCATCTCGAATAAACAAAGTGGTATTGCCTGAATATATTACAGTAGGTGGCCTATGCTTGTTCTACATTGTAACAGGGCATTGGGTAATGTCATTGTTATGTGCTCCTTACCTGTACTACAATGTGAGATTGTAAGTTTTCTATCAAATCTATAAATAAGCTGAGAAAGTTTATCGTTTATGAAAGATACTGGTTATTGAATATTATGTTTTTAAGAAACATTTAAGTGGAAATAATCCATTAATTTAAGAGTGCATGGCAGCATGCGTTAGAAATTTGAATCTTTGCATTCTTTGGCATTGTAGTAATGTGACTAACCAGGAAAAGAGTCACTTGTTGATTGCATGAGACAAGCCAATTTGATTAACATAGCGTACGGTTTAGTTTATGCTTCAAGGAGTTTCTAAGTAGGCTATATTTTTCTACTAATAATTATTAAATGTAATATTTTGTGCATAAGCAGTAGTTTGGGTGAGGGTTTGAATTTGAGTTTCGAGTCTTTGCATTATTCTGCATTTTCATTTGAGTATATGAGTGTTAAGAGAACCAAACCAAACCAGTTAACCCAATCTTTTACTATATGGCAGGTTCGTTCATTCTTTTTTCTATGGTGTTTGGTTTAGCTTGGTTTGATTCTTTTTTCTTGTATGATGAAGCCATTAGGCCTTAAACTGGTTTTGTTTTTTCTATGAATCTCACTCTATTTCCTTGATCTTCTGCCACTCATCTAGCTGTATAAATATGGCATTTATGTTATTATCTTCTCTAGTTATTGTCTTGAAAGTTGTGAGTGTTTAGTTTTGGTAGAATTCAAAAACCAAATGAAATCGGGAGTTGGGACAAAGTGGTTCCATTTAGTCAATTTAACTCAGTTTGGTTTCTAAAATTTGAAGATTGGTGAAGGCTAGTTTAGTGCAGTTTCAGCCTCAAACTGAACCAAAGTCAAACATAGACCATTAACATCGATAATACTATAAACCATCCAAAGGAGTGATATACACATGGTGCATGAGACAAAAATGAATTCAATAGTTGTAAACTGGGTTTTGCTTTATTCATTTATATAATTGCTAAGCAGGCTACAATTTTAGATGTGTTTGTTGGTTCTAAAATTTCAACCGTGTTACATGAACCAAAGATTTGATATTCAAATTAGCAACTAGAGCTAAAAGTTACCTATTGCTCAAGTTCTTTAGGCTGAGTCTGCACACCTTGTCTCTCTTGTCTAAAATTTCAACCGCGTTACATGAGCCAAGGATTTGATATTCAAATTAGCAACTAGAGCTAAAAGTTACCTATTGCTTGAGTTCTTTAGGCTGAGTCTGCATACCTTGTCTCTCTTGTCTGTCAAATAAAGCAGGACTAACCAGTTATAGAGTTCAGTTTCAGTCTAATAGCGTTTACCTCTATGTTTGTGTGTATCGCAGCTTCCATTTTGTTTAGTTAATGGTTTCTTATGCTTACTACTTAGAGGGGATTAAAGGGTATGGCTTGTTTTCTTGCTTTAATCATCCTTGATGTACTGGAATATGCTTAGTATATATATAGTCTTGCTGATTACATATTTTATTCCCTTTGATCAGATACAGACAACGAAATCATCTTGTTGATGTTACAGAGATATTCAACCAGCTCCCTAAGGAAAAGAAGCAACGGCTTTTCAAACTCTTCTATCTTGTTTTCATCCTTTTCCTATCCTTGTTTTGGTACGGTGACCGGAAAAAAAGGACTAGTATTCATATTCATCAATAAGAGGTGATATTAAGTTATTATTCTTACAAGTGCTTTTTGGTGCAGGATGATCTACACATCTTTGGATGACAATTATGATTGATGGCTTGTTTTGTGGACTTCTTTATGGAAGTGTCCAATTTAGTTGAGGGCAGCTAATTACTTCCATATCAGACGCTAAATCTACACATGGTCAATTGGATGTCTGGATCTTTCTGTATAATACACTAAACTTCAAAGCAGTTTCATTGCTTGTTCGATTATGCGAATTGCAAAATCTAGACCTTATAACCTCACGCTTAAAATTCGTGTTTGTTTGTTTGCTACGCATAAAAAGTTCGTGTTTGTTTGTTTGCTACGCATAAAATCACAAGTTAGAGCGTGTTTGGATTATTTTTTTTTTGACGTTTTGAGCTTTGTACGTGGATAGTGTAGGTGTGCATTTTTCATGCAGTTCCAAAAAGGCACTTATTCTAGTTGTTAATTCACGTCCTTTAATTCCAATGCAAAATTTTAAAAAATCATCAACTAAATCACAATTTGTATATTAATATATTAAAACAGGCGCAAAATAAATTTACAGACCATATATTTTATTCTGGTATTTTTTTAGCTGACATTTAAAATTTAAATATTTTAGACAATTTGATAAATTAAAAGTTTTATATATAGGGTTATAAGGTGTATGATATAGGATTTAGTTCAGTTTCCTTATTTTCTTATAATAGAATTATATTCTAGCAAAAAAGATTTACAAGCATGAGTTTTTTGGTAATTGACGTTTAAATTTTTAGATAATTTAATATATAAAAAAGGTTTTATATTAAGGTTTAGATTTAGGGTATTAGGGTTTTAGATTTTGGGTTTAGTTTAGTAACTTTATTTTCTTATAATAGAATTATCTGTTAGTAAAAGGGATTTAAAACTTTCGTAATTATCATAGTGATTTTTTGTAATTGATATATTAAAAAAATTTTCTTTTGAAGTTTTTAGTTAATTTGATAAATTGAAATAAAATTTTATAATAAATTAATTTGATATTTTAGTAAATTTTTTAAATCAATGTTGTATCTATAAATTATTTTAAATTCTAATTTTGATTATTTATACATTTAAATATGATTTAAAATGAAATTGACAACTTTTTTTTTATAATATATTATTTGGTTCTTAAAACAGAAAAAAGATTATTAAAGAAACAAAACTTGTAGTTAAGCAACCCTTTTGATAAATGATAATAGTTATATATGCCACCATTACTTCTAGGTAATTTTTTTGTTCTTATCAAAATTGGTTGATCCCGCATCAAAAACAACTTTAAATTAGGATAATAACAAACTTTATATATAAAAGGTTATTGAGTTATGAAAGATTATTGTCCTATAAAAAAACATGTATCAATTTTAGTTTGATTTTGTGTTTGATAAAAGAGAACATTGATATTTGTTGATCATTTGATACTTCTAATGGTTCCATATATTTTCTTGTCAATTTCTATATTTGGAGCTCAATTATGAATTATTAAGAAAAAAATATTCAAGTTGTAACATGCATAAAGTTTATGATTGCTGTGACCTAAAATTGAAGAAACTCCATATTAATTCTCTAATTAAATAGCATAAAAAGAACAAAATTGTTCCAGTATACCTAAAAGTCTCACATCGCTTAGAAGTTGAGGCTAATGGTAGTTTATAAACACTATCACTCCTTAACCCACCGAAGTGCCTTTTAAAGGACAAAATCGTGACGGCTCAACAAGTGCCAAAGCGGACAATACCTCGGATGCAACGATCCTAATGATGACAATGAACTTACGGTAGGAACATTTGGCGCTAGAAGAAGGGCCTAGGCCACTCGTTCCCCTTAGCATCAACTGGGGGCTTGTTTCGGTATGCTTAAAAGTCTCACATCGCTTAGGAGTCAAGGCTAAGGGTAGTTTATAAACACCCTCCCTCCTTAACCTACCGAGGCGCCTTTTAAAGGATAAAACCGTGACGACCCAATGAGTACCAAAGCGGAAGCTCCTCGGCCTAAGGCACTTAGAGCTCGGGGGGCTAGTGTACCATCCACATCGGTACAAGCCCCTCGGCCCAAGGCACTTAGAGCTCGGGGGGCTAATGAATTATCCACGGCGGTATCGAGGTCCATCTCGATACCTGGTCACCTAAATACATCGGCTAAAAAGATAAATTCATCCCCCAACTACCAAGATAAAAGATAAGTGCGCAATCTTGTCTTAACTAACGAGATATTGACGTGAAGAGAAAAAAAACTCTAATTAACATCAATGTGTACGTGTATTATATATATTAGACACTCACATCTATAAAAACTAACTTAAGCATCAGAGTCTCTTTTGCAGGTAACACTCCATCTTAAAGTGCCCAACTTGCGAAACAGAGGAGACTCACCAATCTTATCGAAGAGGTCGTCACCAAACTAACTTCAGGTGAGAACAAAAACCAATTATAAAAATAATTTTTAATCAAATAAAAAGAAAAGCACTTGCAAAAAATGACAATAACGCGCACAATTAAAAAATATATATACAATTAAAGAAAAATACTCATTAAATATGAGTCCTTTGATGTTGGTTATTTATTTACAATATTATTTCTCAACCACATGAAATTATAGTATGATTCTAAGTCAAGTGTTGGTACAATGTTTTTTATTTTTCCCAAGATGATTAAGGATGCTTTGAAAGGTGACTTGACATAACTATGAGAGAGAGTTCTCACTTGTTTGTAAAGGTCATACGATTAAAAATTGAAAAATAAAATAAAAAAGTCAATTGAATAGATAAATAAATAGAAAATAAAAAATGAACAATAATAAATTTTAGTTAAGATTATTTATTTAAATAATTTTTATATCTAATATTTTTTTATTGTAATTTTAGTTAAGATTCTAAACAAAATTATTTTTTAAAATAAAAAGGTTTTAAAAATTTTAAAAACGAGTGTTACTAAAAAAATACTTTAGTGACCTTAAACTTTACACTCAGTACAAAAAAAAGATATCTAATCATATATATATATATATATATATATATATATGTGTGAGAAGGATTTAAATAACACTGATATAATTTTTACTAAGTATTATACCACTTAATAATTTTATATTAAATGTAAATTTTGTAAATCTAACTATTGAATTATAATTTTATACCATTTTATATGTTATATATCAAATTTTGTTAAAATTGAACAACTTGAAGGTAATCAAAGTGTTCATATTTTATTACATTTTGAAATATATATATTACATCAATTTTATTTTATAAGAATGAAATATCAAATCATCTTGGATTAATATAAAATTTTGTATATATGATCTAAGAGTAAAAAATTTCAATTTAACTATTGAATTTATAAAATTCACATTTAATATAAAATTATTAAATAGTGTAATACTTAATAAAACTTACAACGGTATCGTTTGAACCACCCTCTATATATATATATATATATTAGATAGATTATGTATACAAAATCTTATATTAATAAAAATTATTTAACATTCTATTTATATAAATTAAAATTGGTGAAATATATATTTTTTAAAATATGTTAAAATATAAATAATTTATCACTTTTTATTATTATTATTTTTTATTTATAATTTTTAACAAAATTTGAGATAAATATTATAATTTAGATGGCAAAATTAATAATCCTAAAAAGTTACACACTAGGTGAATAAAATATGTATAGAGGAGAGCAAATAAAAGCTTATCTCAACTAGAACCGGCGTTGTTATTCTTCATCTTCAAATTCAATAGTCTCGCAAGCAAGTCGTTGAGATTAAGGTTTTGGAGCACAAAAGTGCGTTCCGTATCCCTTCTCTCTTATTCCATCACCACTCGAGCATGGCGGTGGCACCCTACACCACCGGTTCTGCACCTCGTCTC